GATTGTTTTGGATCCAGCAGAAATGGCGGCAAATAGATTTTTACCCCAAAAGAAAAAAGTTATTTACTACTCTGCTCCAGTGAGAGAATGTTCAACACAGTGGAGGAGAAAATCATCACAGTCCCTGGCTTTCTGATTTTTAAAGACATGTCAGTACCCAGTGGGTAGCATAGTCCACACATACAGTGTGTACGGAAAGTATTCAGACCCCCTTAAATTTTTCACTCTTTGTTATATTGCAGCCATATGCTAAAATCATTAAGTTCATTTTTTTCCTCATTAATGTACACACAGCACCCCATATTGACAGAAAAACACAGAATTGACATTTTTGCAGATTTATTAAAAAAGAAAAACTGAAATATCACATGGTCATAAGTATTCAGACCCTTTGCTCAGTATTTAGTAGAAGCACCCTTTTGAGCTAATACAGCCATGAGTCTTTTTGGGAATGATGCAACAAGTTTTTCACACCTGCATTTGGGGATCCTCTGCCATTCCTCCTTGCAGATCCTCTCCAGTTCTGTCAGGTTGGATGGTAAACGTTGGTCGTCATGTTTAACATGTCATTTTGCTTCAGTGGCATTTTGGTCTGTTTCACCCAGATAGATGAGTCGGTGTGAAAATGTGGGAAAGATGGTCAAAAATGTGATTTAATGTGCTTCTCTTAAAAGCAGTTGTAGGTTTGGTGGTTGAATAAAAATGGGAAGGAGAAAGCTGTGTGACCACACAAAGCAGTTTTGAGTTTTGAGATTCAGTAAATTTGCCACTTCCCCTTTTTTTAACTGTCTTCTTTTTTATGTGGTGTCAAATCTGTGAAAAAGAAAACATTTGTTTGTACATGACCCGGTTGTACTTTTCCTCAGATGCCTGGTAATATCTAACATCTTCAGAATGAATCTAAATGGTAAATCATAATAATGTGGTTTATGATGACATATGAGTGCACTTTTCAAAGTACTCTACATCAGGATATTTCATTCTGACTGACAAGATGTACTTAACATGTACTTACCAAACAAACAAAAACACTATCTTTATAATAATGACCCTCATCAGTCAAATTAAATATTCTTCATATTTTATATTAGAAAACCAGACAGGAAAATGTTGTTTTTACTGCGCCAACCAAACCAGTGCTTTCAGATGAAGACTTTTAAAGTGTAGGTGAAAACTAAAAATCGACAGTATGAATCTTTCATCACAGGAACTCACAGGAATTGCACATTAAATAGTTTATTATTGAAAGAAAAGTGGATGAATAAATCAATTATAAAACAAACACAAGTGAGAATACATGGAGGACTGCAGACTTAATCTAAACGATATCCGGGACTCACCGCTCAGCAGGGAGGGATTTCATTCATGAAGTGCTGGAGGAAGAAATGGGAGGATGTCTGACCTTCGCTCCCATACTTATGTCTGTGACAGGAGGATGAGTGTCACAGCAAAGGGTCTGAATACTTATGACCATGTGATATTTCAGTTTTTCTTTTTTAATAAATCTGCAAAAATGTCACAAATTCTGTGTTTTTCTGTCAATATGGGGTGCTGTGTGTACATTAATGAGGAAAAAAATGAACTTAAATGATTTTAGCATATGGCTGCAATATAACAAAGAGTGAAAAATTTAAGGGGGTCTGAATACTTTCCGTACCCACTGTAGATCAGAAGACATCTGTGCAGTCAAGAACATAGCATGTAAGTTACATGCTCAACACCCCCCTCCCCCAAGAACTGTAGCATCTCTAGAGCTGAGCACCAGCCACCTGCTGTCTCCATATGTGCATCCATAAGACGTTTAATTTGCTTGGCTGTGATTATTTTGATATATTGTTTTAGCAGTTTAGTAGGAGTCTAAAGATAAACTGATAATGTTGTCTAAAGGCTGTTCACATTAGTAGTGTTTGTAGACAAAGCTGTTGTAATCAGATGAGCAACACCAATTGCTGATTTTACATTTATAAATTAAACCATTCACATACTGTGTCAAAGAAATAAATTCCAGTTGACAGTCATTATTCACATCTGATCAGTTTAAACATTACTTTAGAACAGCTAACATACACATATGTCATAAGTGTCCAGTTACCAACAGTTAATGGACACCTTCCAACCTATCAGCAAATTTTCAATGGCCCTGGTCAAAACTGTGTCATTTGCAACAGATTTGTTGTGGTTGTCTGACAGAAGGGGTCTCTCCAATAAAATGCTTTACTCAGAAATTCGGACTTTCTGCATTAGTATGTTCTGAGAGCAGGGCCATACCTGGCAGTGACAGCCTGAGGGACCTGAGGTTATTTCCTCATTTTTTATGGAAATGGATAGGTGCTATTACCCTTTGTGAAATTTACATTTTAAAGTTCAAACTTAGGCTGATTTCAATATTTTAGGCCAGTCTTTTGGCAGTGCGGAGAAGGCTTTGCAGAGAGATTTAGACTTCCATTCTCTTTGTATCACATAGTTATGGACAACATATTGGAAAAATGTTATCAGGTAGGTATTTTTTTCTTGTTTTAAGAATATTTTGTCTTTTTAATCTGTTTATGAAAATAAATAACTTATTTTTATTTTTTGTACTGTGCCCTTTCACTGTAGGATGTCTTGTTTTGCTAAAACAATTTGAACTCAAGGTCTTCTTACTTTTCCTGAACAAATAATTTACTAATATAAATTTGAAATGTAGGTGAAAACTCTGGAAAAAGTAAGTGGGTTAGGGTTATGTTTCATATCATGGCCATCCTAAAAAGTCTTGATTTTGATTAGTTGGGTGGTGTAGCTAGACCGTTGGAAACCAGACAGTTTAACTGGACACTGGGGCTGAGGTTCATTCTAAATTAATGTAACAATATTAAACTGTAGGTAAAAACAACAGACCCTCAGTTTTAGATCATAAATCTAGGGTTACTGTATAGCCACCACTACCACTAACTGAAAACCAGAGTAAATAGCTTCTTAGTGAGAACCATGTAAATGTCATTTTAATGGTATATTATATCTGTGTGAATCTGGAAGTCCAGATCAACTAACCATAAGAAGAGGGACGACCACACAAAAAGTACTGTATGATCAAAACCTGCCTTTGTTGAGAAATGGCGGTTTTAACAATAAAATGTGGTCAAATGCAGCTAGATGCTCCCTAACAATGCAAATGACGGCAGTTCTGAAACTTAGCAACAATATATTTTGCCATTTTTTTAAAACGAAAAGTGAACAAGTGACATTTTCAGTTTACATATGGCTATTTGTTGGAAATTGGCCATACTACAATATGGATTCAGCAGTGTAAACTCCCCATCAGGTGGTTCTTAGCCCCTGTATCATCCGTTACACTCACAAAACAACTTATCAACATATTCCATGCAGATAATGTTGCTGGAACATTATATACATTATACATTGAACATTACATATATTAATAGGTGTATTCTGTAAAATGAAAGGTCTAAATCATCCATCCATCCATCCATCCAATTCCTAAACCGCTTAGTCCCAAACGGGGTCACAGGGGGCTTGAGCCAATCCCAGCCAGCTGCGGGCAAGAGGCGGGGTACACCCTGGACAGGTCGCCAGTCCATCGCAGGGCTAGGTCTAAATCACAAAATGTTTATTCCAACATTTAACATTTTTTGACCTCAATTTAATTTGGAGCTTAGTTATCAGTCATGTCAATCCACATATTGATTACCAGGCCAAAAAATGAACATTAATAGTCCACAAATTGTCTATTTTCAGTTTAGTCTGATCTGCCAAAACAATTTTTTAAATTTTCTCCTCTCCTTTCCATTTACTATTTAAAACTGATGTGTACGTTTTTGAAATATGCATCACATGTTTAGCATATAAATGCATGTATGGTCATAATATGTTTTATGAGCCCTAGTTATACTAATATAAGCAGAGTGCTGAGTTGTCTTGAGACTTCTCCACCCTCATGACAGGCTCTTTAAAAATAGCTACACTAGGTGATTAAAAATGTGACTTTGAAGGATTGGCCTAGAATTTGCCAGAAAGAAAAAAACGGCACCAGTGGAAATGTCAGAGCAATAAACAGTTGCAGGGGCTGATGGGGCTGATGGAGCTGATGGGGCTGCTAACCCCTCATTTGTGGCTCCAATGGGACACATTGCTTTGAGGCCCAAAAAAAATTGAGATTTCCTGGTGTTTTACGGGAGACCCTGCCGTTACCATGCCGAGTGTAGGTCAAATGTATCAGTGAGCAGCCGCTGGGAACATCTAGATTTCCCTGTCTCTCGCCTCTCTCCCTGCAGCCTACTACTCTTGTTCACCATTGCATAAGCACTGCGCTGGGAATCAGTTAGGGTTGCCATGATGCCATTCTCATTGTTGGGAGACGTCATGTTTTATCCTGTGTTACACCAACTACTGTCACAGGTTAAACGATTAGAGGTATGGTAGGACATATTTTTCCCTTCAACGCCCATATGTAGATCATAAAAATGGATCCTTTAACTGGTTCTTTAATGAGACAAAGCAGACTACACCAGGAAAAAAAACTTGATTTTTTTGTTATAACAACTGCACTCTTACATACATTTGTTTACAGTCATGGACTCCCTTTGTATAACACCACACAAATCTATATACTCAATGGCTTTTTAGAGTTTTGCTTGAAAGGTTTTGCTGATATTCTGGTATATGTATGTGTAAATCGTTGTATTTTGTGTTCAGTCACTTGAGGTTGTGTTCACTTCCCAGTATTGCCCCCAGAACGTCCTTCCGAGGGCCCAGGAATTCACAACAAAGTTTCAAGGTCTTAAAAGATGTTCTCTTAGTACATCAGCTTTGCCTCAACTTGACCTTTGCTTTTCTCATCTTTGAAGTACTACAGTTTCATATTTTTTGTCACATACAAAGCAGAAAAAAGTCTATTATATATACATCCTTGATTCTCCCATATTGCAACCACAGCTTTTTTCTGTGACAGTAGCAAAGATCATGTTTGATGTTTTTGGCCAAGATGTTCACCACCAGTCCAGTTGAAGCATCCAGGTTTTATTTACCCTTGATTCTATGTTTGCTCTAATCATGCAGTCCAACAGAAGAGAAAAAATGATAATGGATAATAATCTTTAGAAATCCTTTGAAGCAGTTGGTCAGTTCAGTGACAAAGTCTCCAAAACTGGAAAGAATTCCTTTGAAACATGGTGGTCCATCTGGGCATGTCTATTTGCTGCATCAGTTTTTGACAATTATTTTCACTGTGTACCATCAAAATATGATTTTTCAGTCTGCAGGACATCTGGTAGTTTGAAGATGGAACTGAAGAGAGATGTGAAGTTGGGTAATAGTGGACTTACAGCTGGTCAGTCGGGTCTAGGATCGTGTCAGAGCTTCTTCTTCATACCGGCCGGTCTACAGCGTATTGGCAGGGGCTCAGGTTGGACACGGGGTTCTGCACTGCTGGATATGCAAAGTTGGTGTGCTGCTTGGCCTTGAGCCGCAGGCTGGCCAGACTGGAGTTGCAGGTGTCTCTGTACATGTAGGGACTGGCTGTGGTGGCGTAGGGGCAGGTGGCTGCAGTCACTGCTACCGAGTTTAGTGCCGTGGGGCTGTTGAGGTTGTTGAGGTTGCCCAGGTTGTTGAGCCCAGTGGCAGGAACTCCTGCCACCGCTGAGGGCACCATGCTAGAGGCCATGTTCATGGAGGGGATGGAGTTGGGAGGGGAGAACATAGGCTGGGATGACAAGGGGCTTACATTCATTGAGTTAAAGAATGGGAAGCTCTTGGCGGAGAGCGGGCTGCTTGCTAGGCTCTTTGTGGCCCAGTTGTTGTAGGAGTAGCCGGTGTACATGTCATCGTATGGCTGCATGAGTCCATTGAATTGGGCACCAAAGCCATTTTTGCATAACTCTGCTTGCTGGTTCCTCTCCCGCTTTCTCCACTTGGCACGTCGGTTCTTGAACCATACCTAGGGACGGCAGAAGGAGAAAGTGTACAATAAGTTGGCAGCATCCTAAAGGCCCCGAAAAATTTAGTTTCAAATCTCAAGGTTTTCTCAGTAACAGGATGTTTTACATGACTGAATTGACAACAAACGCAGCTCAGTTTTTTGAGGAAAAAAACTTTGGTTTTATTTTTTAAAGGTTCAGAACTCAAAAACAAAGTTACTCTAGGGGTCTCATTTATACAGTTGTGTATAGGATCCTTACTAAAAGTGAACATGTGCTCAAAAGCCAAAAATAGCGTACACCAAAAAATCTTGCACTAATGCACCTGTAAGCAACGTTCACTTAATAAATTACAGATCGCCTGTAATTGTGTGCACGTGAATCAGCCTCATATTCCATGTAATATAACTTCTCAGACACTGAAACAGAGACACTTGTAGGGCAGGTGGAGGCCCAGAAAACCACGTCATTTGGTGGCCACAGCACTGGGATCACTGATAAAAGAAGCAGTGCGAGTGGCAACATGTTGCCGCTGCTGTCAGCTGTGTCAGTGGGACAGAGCGGACAGTGTCGCAACGTAAGAAAAAGCAATCCGATCTAAAGGTACATTACATCTTTCTGCTCCTTTACCAATATGTATTTGATTTGTGTTGCTTGAGTATTTGAGTATGTTTTACTTTGAAATAAAGAATCTCATTCATTCAAGGAGCGGACAATGTGATGGTGAGACAGCACTGATTAAATATATAGCATGAATTTGGATTTAACATTTGACTTGGATTTTACAAGACAGTTTTTATGAAACAATTATCACTCACTACAAGCACAAATAGCACTGCTGGATTTAATCTTCATGATAATGTGGATCTAACGTATAATATGCAGTGAAATTAAATGTATGTAAGGCATCAGTACTTGTAGTCTCTCCTCTCACATTTCATTTCTACTGTCTGACTTTCATTCACCACCTCAGCCTTCGGTGTCGAGGATTCCCCTTGTCGCTAGAAAGTGTGTATGGGTCAGAGTTTACTTAGAGGCGTGCACATTCTCCCATCAAGTGTGGTTTTTAAAAAATAATGATTTTTATATTCATTAGAATTGAAACAAACAATTCCAGTTTACTACACCCCGGGTTCTGTTTTAGTATTTTTGACCATAATTTTGTCAGCCCTGATAACACAGTACTCACCAAAGTATCTGTTGAGGGGTGTTGTTTTATTTGGTTGTAACCAACAAGTCCTCCAACCTAAATGACCACGTACTGTAGGTAGCTCATCCCTACCCTCTGATCCCGTCCCAACCCCAAATGGCCACATTTGATGGGAAGTCTACCAGATCTTTGTTGTCAGGGGTCCAGTAATAAACACACACCAGTGATGGAAGAAGTTGTCAGGTTTGCCCAGCTGCGCCTGCCTCTCTCACTCCCCTCACTCTGTTTTGGCTCCCTTACCCTGATTACACTATCTGACACACCTGCTTCACTCGCCCAGATCATCACCAGCTGCTGATTAGTTTCTCCCTACTTATACCCTGCTCACCGTTCACTCCCCTGCCAGTTCTTTTTAGATACTCAGGCCCATCCTTATCCATTATTTTTGTCTATTGCTTTATCCAGGTACTTACGTTTGTTCGTCCTAGCTCCGATTGTTAGGGTGATTTTTATTTTTCAGTAGATAAACACGCCTCACACTATCCAGTCCTGTTGTCCCTTTATCTCGTTGCTTTGCTTCCGTCCCTGCTACATCTCTTCCTCTCCGGACCTGAGACCTGCTCAACCCTGTCAGTCTCCACCACAGTCTTCTGTTAACTGTCTGTACGTACTCTGTTTTCTCAGCCACCATTGCTGCCAACCACGACCAGTTCAGGAGTGATCCGCAGCCCGGTCCACCAACATTCATCGTACCACTGACTGTTTTTCCTCTACTGCTGCTCAACACCCGGTTACGCTCCATCTCCCTTCACCTTGCTAGTCACATATCTGTTTATCATCACTGTAAATAAATTGAGCACTGCTTGCACCTAAGTCAGCTACCTGGGTCCGTCATTTTTTTGACTCGCTCGCCTCAGTGTCCAAGCGACCATAACAGAAGTACTACGATGCACTACTTAAACACTTTAAAGTGCCTTAGATTTAGTGTTACTTATGTATCTACTTTATATTTCATCTGTATTGTGTGGCATTTATGTGGATGGCAAAGTAAGATTTTCATTGTACAGGGAAACATGTTTCCTAACTGTGCATATGACAAATAAACACTTTGACTTTGACAATACCACATTTAGTTTTATACTGCATTTTATTTTTTACCTGATTGTGAAAAGTAAAAGTATCAAATATATGTAGAAGAGAAAAAAGTACAGTATAATATTTCCCTCTGATGTAGTGAAGTCGATATAGCAATAAAATGGAAATAAGTAAAATACAAACTGTACTTCAGTCAAGAATCTGAGTAAATGTACTTGTTACTTTCTACCATGGCAAATGGTATGTAGCAGCAGTTTTAAATGTACTTGTTACTTTTTACCATGGCAAATGGTATGTAGCAGCAGCAGTGAACTGGATCTTTACATCATGGTGATAGCAATACACAATCAGGCAACTTGGGTAGGTTTAAGGAAAAGATCATGGTTTGGGGTGAAATAAATGTTAAGGTAAGAGAGTTAGCAGTTGAAAGAAACAATGATGACTATTGATATGAAATCGAAAACAAATGTTGTCCCATCTGGAAGTCCTGTGTTTTATCGAGCCACCCTTTCAGCCCACCCTCACCTTCGCTGTAGCTCTATATAGTGTCACCTGACTTCTTACTTTGTTCCCGTCATAATTACTCGACTGCTACAGGTCGCCTAACAAAAACATGTGACTATGGGTCATAGTAAGTTGCTTCTACAGTTTACCCACTGTATATGGTTGCTTTTTATTTCCACGTGGTGCAATTTTTTGAAATTGTTTGCATTTCTCAAGATACAAACAGTTAAATTGCTATTGTGGGGACTGTGTGTGACATCATCAGTTAGATGTGTACACAGGCAAAAGGTAGAAAATACAGAAAACCCAAACTGATTTGGAGCTTCTGAGGAAATCAACATGAAAAGTTTTTGTTTGTGCCTAAAACTGCACAAACCACAAGTACTGAATGACACATGGTCTTTATCTTAAGATGGAAATCTGCCAGTAAGCTCAGTGTGCAGAGTTAGCTGTTAGCTGGAGCTGCAGGAATAAACAGCTGTTCAAAGGTCAGGCCACTCACACTGCTCCTGTGTGTTCAAGGCTGTTGAATGAACATTTATCAGTCTCCATGGTTGACGTGTTTAGTTTCAGTTTGGGAATTGTGACGGCTAATAGAAGTGCAGACTATGGGGGCCCTGGGGTGCAAAACAACAGCATTTCATGAAACACAATAACAAAAGAGGAAACACAGCCAGACTTCACAAAATACAGCATTTTGTTTGAGAAATGTCAGGCATTACATTGTGTACTGTAGACCTATTTCCAAATGCTCACATTTGTCATTAGTAAAATTTTACAAACTGCAGTCTCTTCTTTCATAAATTTAGTGTAAAACTGTAGAAATCGTTAAGTTTTTCCTGTTAAAACACATTTTCTGCACACACATTCTCAACATGATGCTCACATCCGTCCAATCATCTAACTTCCAGGTCAAAATCAAATTTTGCTCTCAAACAACACACACTGCATGCCAGTCTCTTACACACTATGGTGAGGGTTATTTTAAAACACTTCTACCAAAAGGGTTTTTTTTTTCCTGAATGTGATATTATTAAGCCAGTGCATATAATTTTGAACTTTGTAACATCTTGGCACTGACCCTACAAATCTCTCTTAGAGAAACATACTGTGAAGTCACTCAAAACAATACTGTACAGCACAATGGACAAACACAGTACAGCAATGTAGATTCTGGCCTGGGTCGGGCCCTAGAGCTTCTTCCACATCACATAAGATGCTAACTGTTGCCAGTAGCATGTTCTAGTTTGCCTCATCCACTCTTGGATGGCTTCCAAAGACACACCTCCACAGGCCTCCTCCATTACCGCAAAGAGGTTTTACCATGTGGAAAAGTTTTTGTCACACACTTTCCACTGCCATACTGAGAAACATGCAAATATCTGTGAATGTGGAAAGGTCATTGAACCAAGCATGAACCAAGATGTCATACAGTATGTGCTGTTGCTATACAGTACAACTGCACATATAAGCTAGCTAATATATTTACACCCCAGTGTTTTCAGAAATGTTGTTGTGGTTTGTGAAATGTCATGTTTTGTGGAATGCTGACCTTTGCTCCTCAGGGCCGCTGTACCAAACTGATTGCTTTGGATGAAAAGGTGTCATGTTTCTATGTTTAATCATAAAGAAACAATGACTTGCATAGTCTGTTTTCATGGTCCTGTGTGTGTGAGAGAAACAATACTGCATAAATCCGGTACTGATACAGTTTGTCAGGAGTCAGGCTCTACCTGTTTTACACTGTAGTCATGTACAGTATGTAGCATTATTATGTGGCATAAACTCTGAGGAAAAACTATAGTTTTCCTACATGCTACTGTGATGACTACAAAAACCAGAATGAGGTAAAGCTGCGCAGCATCAAACAGGATGGGGCTGATTTTTTTTCTGCTAACACTAATTGTGTGAGGGGGTTTTTGTGTTTTTTGGCTCAGTGTGTGCTGTCATGGCTGCTGTTTTTGGACACACAAAAAAAACCTACAGAAATCATACCATTTCTCTCTACCTGTGGAACTAACATTACCACTGCTACTAGCTGTTGTTTCTCACTGGAATATGTATCGAGTTAGCTACCAGAGTTACTGATCTAAGCATGAACAGATTGAAGGCAGCGGCCACCCCCAGAATCTGATTGGCTGCCCCCCGCCAGAGTCAAAATGTGATGCTTGTCAGTATTAAAGAAAAATGAAAAACAATGACAAATTGTTGCCTTTAATACATTTTTCTGGTGTTTTATAATTGATATTGGCCCAGTTAGTTTCATTTTGC